AAAAAAACAACCCCCCCCCCCCCCCCTCCCCAGTACATAAACATAATTCAAGTGTGATGGCAAGAATGATGCAGCTTAAGATTCTGAGTAAAACTGTCCTGGCCATCTTTTGATAATGATTATGAGTAAAGACTCTACACCATAATGAATTAAAGTAAGCTAAAAAAACTGAAATTATCTTATGCTTTAAGATAAAATTTAAGGTCTTGACTTCACTGCTTGGTTACTTCTAAGCTGAAGAAGTGATGCAGCAGTGAATCAGAAATGTAAGATGTAATCCTGCACTCCTAAGGCAGAACTCCTACTGACTTCACTGGAACAAGAACTTCAAGGCACTAAATGTCAAAAAATATATGTACTGAAACTTTATCTGCAAATCAATTAAGCCATTATACTTAATTTACTTTGAATCTTCCCCATTAAGTTTTCCAAAAAACATATTTTTGTGCCCTTATGCTGTCTGTGATAAGAAGAAGGGATAAATCCATCTGCAAAAGTGATACTGTATTCTCTGCCAGTGAATTTCCACCCAGCTATTAAGTTATCAGATGTGGTTTATCTTGGAGAATGAAAGTTTAAATGGAAAATTAAGCACTGAGAGTGACTTCAGAAATTCTGTGCATCATTTTGCCCCTTAATGTCACACTTCACCAGACACACTTTGAAGTGCAGTGAATCATATTTTAAACAAGCAGACTTTAATATAACGACAGCAGATAATGTAGCAGAGGTGAATAATAAGTGTTAGCAGTCCTAACTTCTCCCTTACAGTAGTCTTTCCTAGGTGTCTAAGTACAATTGATGGGCAATTTATAAAGTGCATATGCTGTTTTATAGATTGGAACTTGGGATCCAGTGAGTGGCCTTAATATGACGGAGAATCAGAAAGGAAAACCAGCAAACATCACAGATTCTCTATCCAATCGCTCTTTAATTGTTACCACCATCTTGGTAAGTAATTATATTTGCCTTCCTTTTCCAGAAATACAGATGTACATGAGAGCTGATGAAAAAAGCTATACTAATTACAACACTAATGAACAGTATGTAATGTCTTTTACAGTTATTTAGCAATTACTGCGTAATGAATGAGCTGCAGTTGTTAATTTTGTCATGGATTTTTATTCTAGTTTAAGTTGACGTAAATTACTGTAATTTTAGTGTTATCTCCCTTAATAATTTGGGTTTGCTTATTATTAGCTAAATTTTTTGAATCTTGGTTAAAAAACCAACCATACATTATAAAATCATATTTAGGGAAAAAACATATAATAATTCAATTAAATGGACCAGATTATTAGATTGATTATTCAAACTGGCAAAATTGTCACTCATTTTGATAGATAATATTGTAAGATTTAGTTTTTAATCTTCATCATAATTATTTTAATTTTTCTTGTCCTCTTTATAATTTAGCAATAATCTTAACCAAATTGAATTTAAAGATGGGAAACTTCATTTTGACACTTCAGAGTAGACTGAATTTTCATAAGTTTGTAGATGTAGATTTAGATGCCAGAATGGACTTTATTGATAATCCATTTTGGCCCTTGGCACAACTCAGAAGCTGATTTTCACCCAGTTATTATTATATCTAGCCCAATAACTTCTAGTTGAACTACAGCATAATATTGAGTTAGATACATAATATTGAAGTAGATACAAAATATCACTAATGGTCTTACTAATGTCTTATACAAGGTAATAAAGCCTTCATGATTACACATTTAAGCATCATGTTAATCCTTTTTGCTGCAGATTAACACTGGAAGATCATGTTTACTTATTGCCAAAAATGTGCCCCTAAGCACTGCTTTGGATCACACCCTAGTTGGCTACAATCCTTGTTCTTTGCTGTTTGATGTAGATCCATGTATTTGTCTTTATTTAAACACTCCTAAAACTCCTATCAGTTACCTAGTGATTTATCTCCACCAGAGATCCGTCATCTATATTATTTACTACTTGATCATCCTTTAAGTTATGTATAAACTTAATCACTATTTTTTTTACATTGTGTTACAGTCTGTATTGACAGTATTCATCTAAGAACTAATTATTGCAAGACCCCAGTAGAACCATCCCCACTAATCTAAGTCTCTCCAGTAGCAACTCTGTTTTGAGATGTTAGCAAATGTTTAATCCCTTTAATGTAGGTATCATACTGATTTTGTATACTACTCATTTTTTAATTCTGAATCCTGGGTTAAAGAAAGGGAAAGCACCATCAGTACAGATGTTAACTCAGGCCACCTATTGGCAGTATCTTTCTATCAGGAGAATCCCTGCTCTTCTGATAGAAACTATGGGCATACAAGCATTCATTCAGTTTCTCTGGAGGGAAATAAGTCCCTTCTGGGAAAAAAAAAGCTTCCAGGAAGATCTCCCTTGTAAGAGAAACTGTGTCTGGTCCAGGAGGGGAGTGAAGAAGCAGGGCAATACTCATCTCCATAGACTAGGGACTGCCAGGTCATGGGAAGGGACAGGAAGCATTGCCCTGCTGCTCCAGTCCCCTCCTAAACTGGTCCAGGAAGGGAATTGAGCAATGAGGCAAAGTTCTCTTTCCCACTTGCTTCACCAGGGTCCCCAGTTTGAGAACTGAATGGGAGGTTTGCTATGTTTCTCACTCCACTCAGCTCCCAGTCTGAGGAGGGAGAGGGCTTTGACCCACAGCTCCAGTCCCCTCCCTCTCCCAGGCCAGTCTACAGGAGGTGGATTATTCCCAGACCTGGGTTTCACTAGTCTTTGAAAATGTGGGAAGTCTTTTCCTCCTGCTGCATTACCTGCTCCCCACTCCCTCCTCTCTCCGAAATAGGTGGACTGGAGCAGCTCCAATCCCCAAGTCTTTCCCAGACCAGGATCATTTAGTTTAAGTAAACCACAGGGGCAGGGAAGAGGGGATAGTTGCGGACTGAACCCCTATACTATTTCCTCTCCCAGAAACATTTCTAGTGGTGAAAATTTCGCACAATTTCCAGAAATGAACAGTTTCTCATTGCCTTGGTCTGAGTTCATTAGAGCTCTGAACTGGTGCAGCCCCATTGATAGCTGGTCACTGACTTCTGTAATCATGCCAGTCCCCTGTGTAGACAAGAGTTCTGTTTTCTTAAGAATAACATTTGGTTGCTAGTTTTGTAGGCATATGTCCCCATCTTTCACTTCCAGATGGAATGCATAATTAAGGGGGAAAAAAAGCAAGGACATTCAGATTCCTAGCTGCTCACTTGTAATTGCCACTTTACACCTCAATTACTGTTTGCTGAAGTTCTGGGTAATTGTAATAACTCACATGAACTAAAAGCAAAAGTTATGAGGAGGAAGGTACTCAAAATAATTAAATTTCTCTTATCCTTCTGTTGGTTGGCTGTAAAGAGTAGGTGTGGTGCCTTGCTTTTATTATCCCATCCCTTTGTCTTTTAAAAATGTGTTTGCACTTAGCATGCTATATATTATTGTTCATATTCTATGGACAGCTGACATGGTAAGCTGGAGAAAGCACGGTTTTCTTTTTTTCATTTCATTGTATTGTACTCCTGCAGTCTCAGCTGTACAAGCTTTTGTGAGAGGTTGCATCTCTGGGACAAAGCTTTCAATAATAACAGAAAAGTTAAAATCATGAAGAAAGAATTGGCTTTAAAATAATGGCTTAACGGATCCCTCAGAGAGGTTCTGTAGTGCATAGTGTAATAGAAACCAAAATGATTTAGAGGCTTGTGTTTGTTTGTTTGATTTAACCACCATTGCTACTATTTCTGCTGTGCCACCACAGTACTGTCAGGGAAGACTATATATCCCTTGAAGGGCAGTTGGAGTGAAAAAACATAGTAGGGAATACCATACAGCTGGCATGCCAGATGTATGCCATTGCGGATCCATCTGTAATGCATGCTACATGCCAACCACTTTACCAGTCTTTCCATGGGTAAACAGACAGTCTGAGAGACAATTAGGGTGTAGCTATAGAAATTCATGAATGTAGCCCATGGAGATAGTTCTCTCTTCATTCATTCATTTCAACTCCTTTCAAAATATTGCCTAAAAAGAGAATTTAGCTCACTTAGCCCAACCTAGTTATATGGAATTTTCAAGGTTACATCCCGATTTTAATCTTGCAAGCTAATGTTACTGCATTAATGTTTAATTTTAAGTGATTTCATTTTCTCTCTCCTGACATACTGAACTATGATGTCCTGTTTTCCTTTACGCTGCAAGCTTGTAGGTTTAAACTCCTCTTAGCCCAGTCCTTTGCACATCTCTGTATTTCCAGAACATAGCAATCTGATCAAATTAAAAAAAAAATTACAAAACAGACACATAGTGTAAGCCAGGAGGTGCCATTGTGAAGTTTTAGATTGACTTTCTATATAATAGACACAATAAGCTGTTGGGAACTAGAGGAACAAGTGGCTCAGAGGTGGTCCACCAGGTATACTGCTGTGGTACCAAAAGTCTCTGGGTGAGGCCTTCCGAACTTTCCAAAATCCTGGCTCCTCAGCAATGCAGCTCCAACGTGGAGCTTGTAAACTTCACCTGGATAGAAAGTACTCCTGTTTAGACTACCAACATTCCCAGTTCCCCATGTGACTTCTCCTTCACACACTGGAACATCAAATCTGCTTCTAGTGCAAAAGGAAAAGAAACCAGCAGCTCAGAAAACCGAAGTACTTGACTAAATGACTCCCAGGTTGAAAGTCTCTGATACATTTAAAAAAGATTGAACCAAAACAGCAGCTAAAGTTTTCTAAAGAATATTTTTTTGCTTCTGTTCTGTGGAAAACTTTATTTTTGTTTTTGGAACAAAAATATGTTTTGAAACTTGAGAATTTTGTGTAGAAGAAAAATTCAGATTTCTGCACAGCCTGATAAAATTCTGAGAACTCTTTGCTAAGAACATCTTAAAATCACCTACTAAGCACTACAGAACACCTACTAAATCCACTGAATTTGCATGCTTTGTCAATGGACTGGGGCAACTCCCACTTACACCAGTTTTATACAATTCACTGGCTTTTTCGGAGTTCCTCTTCATTTATGCTGGAGGGAGGGTAAACTCTGTCCTGTGACTGTTCAGGTAATAATAACTAGGCATTTCCATAATTTATCACTATAGGCTGTTCATTTTTTCTAAATATATAAAGAAAATCTTGCACTTTTCAAACTTTGTAACTTTTTGGTTTTCCATCTAGAAACTGCTGGATGTATTCTTCCTTAACTACAGGTTAACACATTTTAATAAGAATTTTAGGAAACATATAAAAACCATCCAGTGTCAGACATCCTTGTGGAGCTTGCAAGCACCACTTGGATAGAATTATTCCTAATCAGATTTCCATTTCTCCCATTTCCCCATGTGACTTACTTCCTCATGATTTTTCTATGGCAAAGCTGTCCAACAGGCAGCTTGTGAGGCTAGGTACAAAAAGTCAAAAAGCCCGAGGCTGAATCGATTCAGTCTTTGCAGGTTAGTCTAAACTGCATAGATTAAATTGAAACAGAATTGAACAGACATCTACCTTTGATTCAGAAAATGCAGCCACATACCTGCAGTGGCTCAGGCCACAAGCCAGGGGGCATTAGAGCTGTGTGTTCACTTCTTCTTCCTGCTGCCTGTGAGGTCTCTGGGATTTGCAGTCCAGAATTACAAACAGCAGGACTCTGCAGGGTTGCTCATCACTTCCTCTTCCAGCTTCCAGGTGCCTCTGGGATTTGTAGACCAATTGCAGCCAGCTTTTTTCAATAATTTCCTCACTATTTGTACTCCATTTTCCACCAGGCCATTGGAATGTGGGTATTTAGGGCTTGAAGTATTGTGATGGAATTCATATTGTCTGCAAACTCTTTAAACTCAAGACAGTTGAATTGAAGTTCGTTGTCTGTTCTCACAATTTGTGGAATCCCGTGTCTAGCAAAAATCAATTTGATCTGAGTTATGAGATGATTTGTTGTTGTGC